GCAAGTAACAAGACATGCAGGAAGCCAACTGCACGCTATTTATAGGCCAAATCCCGCCAAAACGGTGACCCTTCCTCTCCTGAAGCACGTTGCGTCAGGTAGGCCGAACGTCACTTCGCCATAAATATGGCCTGACGTGGCAGCCAACCGGTGCGTGGTGCGAATGCTGAAGCGCTGATCTTATCGGCCTCGAAAACTGGCGACTCCCGAAAGCGACGGTCCTTTAGGCTTCCCTAGGAAGTGACTTGGCCTCCCGCGCCCGCGCGCCACTAAGCGATAGATCGCTAATCAAAACCAAGTTGCTCCTCGGCAGCATGTTGCTCGAGACCACGCCTGCGCGGCCAGCCCGCTTGCGCCGTGCTCCTCGACCGCACGCTGCCCGAGACCACGCTTGCGCGGCCTGCCCGCCTGCGCCGTGCTCCTCGGCAATGTCAGACGCTACCAGAAGTACGATCCTGCTCCTTACCGGCAGGCACATCGTGCAATGGTAATTCTCACTATAAAAACCCTCGCGCATCGAGGAAAATGAGGCAGAGACAACTTGGCCGAAAAAGAGTGAACCCCCCACGACCACTCACTAACTTGATCGTTGGAGGGGTCGGGCTGAGCTCCCCGACCCGACCTTTGTGTAGGTGCGAAGCCGAAGGTCCCCATTGAACGCGTAGGCGAGGAGTTCTTGCCCGGAGGGAATAGCGACCCCATCCCAATCGAAACATCGTGATCAGCCACCTCATCAGTCGGAAGGAGCGTCCCAGGGAGATCCCCGTCATCCGGACCCGAACCGAGCCACGTCGATCCCGAGGCCACGGCTTAAGGTTGTTTACACTAAAATCTTGTTATAGTGGACTTTGCACTTTCGTAGTTGGCGTTAGCTGACGCTAAAGAAAGTGGTGTGGCTCTTTCCAACTTGATTGCGATAAATCGACTACTCGACGCCTATACGTCATTATTCCTTTGACAATGACCAAAATCTCTTCATCATTGTCTTGAGACAAATTTATACGTAAGATTTCCTGCATGCATTACTGTGTTAGCGTGGAGATGCACTAATGATGTAGGCATAGACTTCTAAATGATCCGATAAGCTTATTGGTTTCGGATGTGAATCCGAACCGAAGACTTCGCTGATCCGAATAGCGGAGTCGCGCTTGTCATTTGGGCTGATTCCTCCCAAATCGATGGAGCGGTCAATCGGTTTAAACTCGGCTTCGTCTCCTTCCGCGGCGATGCCCCGTAGTTCCCCCAACCCTTCGCCTTCTCGCTGCCTCTGCCCCCGATTCCGTCCCCCCTTCATCCCTCCCTCCACCCCCATCGGTTTATTGATCTCTTGTTACGTTGTTCTTCCAGATCTTGATCGCGACCGTGAACGGATGGATGCTCTGCGGGACTCTTGGCTGGTGAGTTTTTGATCTGTTCGCTGGTTCTGTGCGCACGCGTCATCTTGGAATCGAAGAATTGTATTGGAACGATTTGCAGGTCGATCCGTCTACGCAGGATCGATTCAAGCATTAGGGTTTCTAGTTCTTCATTTGTGTTCGGGTGTTGTGTTAGCGTGTAGGTTCTTCGTTTCTAATTCTTGAGATTGCTGAAATCTTTCATGAGTCTCAACAAATTGTGGATCCATTATAAGAGAAACATGAACAAAACCATTACAGGTCTTACCTCCAAATGTATTCTCTACATATGGGTATTTATGTTATCTTATTTTGGATGGATGTTCCAATAGTTTAATACAGATTCACTTGGAAGGAAACAGAGTGCCTTGGCCAAAATAACTCGGCTTCATAGTATGTTTCCCAGGGGAAAAAAGGTGAAAAGACACTGTGTGTCTAGTATCATTACTGGCATCGACAGTTTAGACACCAAATCCACTCTATGATACTGCTTGAGCATATGATGTTGGTGTACTTTCAAGGATTATATTGCAACATCCCAGTAGTTCAAAATTGGAAGATGATTGTGACTTGGATTAGTATAGGAGACTAGATGAGTTGGCCCTACTATTAATAAATTGCACTTAGTAGTTTTAACTATACGGTAAATGCTCATTCTAACAAGGTTCTTGAGCTAGTAGGACCATCCCATTGCCTTTTCTCGGTGCCTGGCCCAGAAGTTCATCCCTTAGAACAGGTCCATCAAATTTACTCATATCAATAAAGTGTTTGAGATAGAACTAGGATGTTCCTGTCGTGCGGTTATTGTAAATTTAACTTCATGCTTGCAGATATACTTGCACGGCAGGAGGCTAATTGTCTCTGATATACCATCAGTATACTGATGGAATCTCTGCGTTGAGTTTCCAAAAAGTATAGGAGTTTCTTTATAAACATGAATATTTTACCTCTTTGATCTCTTGATGGTTCACAGTTGTGTTCTTATCATTATCCTATCTAATTGCCAAAAGTGGATTCTAATGATTATCTACTCATCAGTAATGGGTTTTGGTTTGTGACAGACGCGGGGCTATTGTGACAACCTTTATGGTGTGTTATGCTCTTACATCATTCATTTCAGGCTATTTAAGTGGTGGACTTTATGCACGGAATTGGTATGGTTTGTCACAAATTAGTCATCTTTATATTCTGAAATAGCAAATATATGGCAATCTTAAGAAGCTCCTGGCTTGAAATATGATTAAATTAGTCTTTATTTTATAATTAAATTTGTTTCATATTCCTCATTGCCAGGAAAAAACTGGATGAAGACAAATGATCTAGAGAGCATCATTGTTTGCATTTATGTGCTTTGGAACAGGCTTCATGCTTAACACAGTTGCTATATTTTTTGGCTTACTGGCAGCTATTCCATTTGGGACAATACTAACCGTGTTTGTATCATGGGCTTTCATTTCACTCCCTCTTGCACTTCTCAGCACAGCCTTTGGTAGGAACTGGAATGGTTTCCCAAACAATCCATGCTCTGTGAAGACTATTCCACGTACTATCCCTGAGAACTGGTATGTCATGCCCTACATTGTCTCACATATGTGGGACTTCTCTCTTTTTGCAGTATCTTCATTAAGATGTATTTTGTCTTCACATCATTCTGGATTTACAAGGTAAGCTCGTTCAGTTATTTGCATCGATGGCAATTGATTCGTACCTAATACGTTTAAATATTAGCCAGTGGAATATTTCTATATTTTCCTGGGAAGACCCAGTCCTTTTATGTTTTTGAATTAATTTGGAATGTTATTGCAGTGCCATTCAGCTTTGAATCCCGAAAAATTATATACTGAATAAATGTGCTGGTGCAGTAAATGGATTATGACAAGCGAAACAATTAAATTTTATTGTCTTTCTTGGACAGGTGTACTATGTTTATGGCTTTATGTTACTACTTTTCTTAATCCTCATCATAGTCACTGTGTGTGTGACTATTGTGGGCACATACTTCTTACTGAGTGCTGAGAATTATCGTTGGCAGTGGACTTCATACTTTTCTGCTGCTTTGACAACTGGTTGTGTGTACCTTTACTCGGCATATTACTGCTACATAAAGATAAAGATATCAAGGTTTTCCCAGACCAGCTTCTATGTTGGCTACACCTTAATGTTCTGTTTGGGTTTAGGAATTATTTGTGGTGAGTTCCCAAATTTTCTGATCTTATTCTTCCAATTTCTTTACTTTGTTAATTCCTCTGGTACAAAATTCAGGTACTGTTGGTTATCTTGACTCCACCTTGTTCATGAGGAAGATCTGTTGAAATATTAAATGCGACTAGCTTCATACACACCAGAATATGGGGATTGTAAACTGGCTACGGATTATTGAAACAACAGCAAATTGAGGTAAGAGGTAAAATGGTGATAAAATCTATTTGATACATGGATGCTCTATCCTCTTTATGATTGCCCTATCGCTGTTGTTTCCCTTCAGATTCGATCCTAGGTGGTCTTGCATATTTCTTATTTATACTATAGGCAATTATCCTGATTTATATAATTCTACAAAACATACTTCAACCAATTCATTTGACCGCCATTTTAATCTTAGTTTTGTTATAGAATTGGATGAGAAGCAACATCTACCATTTTCATGTATGATGTAATTATTATATGAACCATGAAGAGCCAATATCCTTTTTTTATCTTTTCATTTCCGTTGACTAAAGTCAACTTTATTGTGTCATCATTACAGATCAGGGACAACTAAAAGGCTCAAGGCAAGCAAAGAAGAGCAAACAAACCTTCCGATTATGTTCTTCCAGGAATCGCCCTTGTGATGTAACTGGCCACCCTCGGGGCGTTTTCTTACTAGTTTTTGAGCTGACCTTGACTTTAACAGTAATGGCGGTCATCAAGTCGAGTGGCTCATTGATACATTACAGTCTCCTCGTTAGCTTCAACGCCTTGTCACCCTTTGATGATGGTCAGAGTATTCATTTTCTTGCCTTTGAACCCTTCCACTCCCATCCTTCATGACGTTTGTTATGTGATCGGCACACAGTCATAAACACCAAAGCATCCAACAAAGAGGTGTATTTAGACATTGACTCTTGCTTTCTTAAGTCCTGTCTTCTTGTCATCTTCCTCTCGAGCAAACTCATGCTCGCGATGACTTTGTGGCTGATGTTGGATGTGTGCGAATGATTCCCCACATCAAGTCAAGTCAACGATTCTGTATTATTATTAGTCTCACATCCAACAGCCTATCCCAGTCTTCTGATAAGGATCCTTCCGTCTTCCCAACTCGAGACACTATTCTAATCAGGTAATTTGAACATTGAAAACGACAGTATTAGCCCCTACCAAATCATGTTATGTTCTAGTTTTGTTAGTTGCATCATCTTGTCGACCTTACTATCTTTTCCAGGAAGGACTATTCAAGTCCAACGCTGATGATTGAACCATTTGATCGTTGAACAGTGTCATGATTTAAACTATCCATCTTATTTGTTGCCTCCTTATTCGGACAATCTAAATGATCTAATCGGTATGGCTTTTACTAGTCACGTCGTATAACTGAACTCACGGAGTTTTGCAGCTTTGAACGAGGAGATGAAGTTGGCGGTGGAGGTCGTTCGAGCCCACCGCCTGAAGCCCATAGGCAGGCATGGCACGACGAACCCCTTCGTCGAAGTGGAGTTCGATGGACAGAGACGCCGCACCGCGACCAAACTCAACGACCTCAACCCCTCGTGGAACGAGACCCTCGTCTTCGACGTCTCCGACCCTCTTGATCTCCCCGACCGCACCATCGACGTCTCCGTCTTCCACGAGCTCTTATCCTCTTCCGTGGACCACCGCCGTCGCCGTCGCAGCTTCCTCGGCCGCGTTTGCCTCCTTGGATCCTCCGTGGCGTCCTCGCGCCTCGACGCCGCCCTCCAGCTCTGCCCCCTCGACAAACGCAGCCTCTTCTTCAACGTCCGTGGTGAAATAACCCTCCGCCTCTACGCCGTCCCT